ACAAGCATGCTTAGTGTGAAGGATTGCTGAAGAGTCAATGAGTCAATGCAATCAACTGATTTTTCTTAGATATAAAATTTTGAATCAATCTGACTGGATGATCTGGTGAACTGTAAAGCACCTTGAGATGATATGTGTTGTGAATTGGCGCTTTAGAAATAAACTGAATTTATATTGAATTATCAGATGGCTTCCACTAGAAGAAGAGACAACAAAAATAAAACATCTAAATAATTCTACAATGATATTAAAAATGCAATTTTCGTCTTTGTTTACAGTGTTATTTCATAATTAAAAATCTCACTGAGGACAGCTTTTAGAAACAAATCTGGATAACATGTTCTGCTGAAAAGATTGGTGCTGAATCCGTTGCTAGGAGGTTTCATCACAAAGATGATGTAAACATAAATAGCTTGAATCCTAACTAGAACCTCTTAATCCTATTGATACAGCAGGCTGTATGTAAAACAGTGACATGTGATAAAGCTGCTGAAAGCTACAAATGTTAAGTTAAATGAATACTTTTAAAGGATGAAGTCAGTCCAACATGTGGGGGCTGCAGCTCCAGGACACCAAGCAGAACACAGAGCGAGAAGACGATCCTCTGGTGCTTTGCTGAACAAGCTGAAACAGAACCAGCCTGTGTGCGAGGCGCTCACAGCAGAAGCCATTGTCTGAATCAGGGAGGGTGTGTGTCTGAGTCAAAGCATGTAACTAAACCAAGCAACAGTCCAGCCGATGTTTTAATGACTCGCACCAGAAAATCCTCTGTGTTAGAAATGCTCGGGCGGAGAGTATTCTCCTTTAATTACTTCCTCGGTTATCTGCGACCACACATGTGGAAATGTCTTTATTGTCACTATTAATCGAGTGATCCCCCGATTAATGGACTGTTCTCTTTGTTATGTCTTCAATAAAACCATCTTGAAAACAGTCATGGAGCCCATCATTGTTAAAGTTAGTCTACTGGAAACTCTTATGAATAAATGATTTTTCCTAAAACACCACTATAGAGATAAAGAAAAACAACTTTAAACAGCAGGCTGGTAAAAATCCTCAGTCATCCAGGTCATAGTCATTCCAAAAAGGTTAAAAACAATCCACTGGAATTTGTTTCAAAGTGTGAAGACGTTTCACTTACCATGCAGGAAACTTTTTTCAATTCAAAATGTCAGAATTAGTGTTAAATTCAAGGCTTTATAGATTAACCCAACAAAACCCTGTTTGGTTTATTATTCATTGCTGCAAAACGAACCAATTGCTAAATTCAAGCACATTTATAACACTAGATGTATTGTTTCTTTTAGGCAATAATTTGTTAAAAAATTAAAGACTCTAATAAAAGGTCCTCCCCCTCCTTCCCTTGCAGATTCTTCTTATTACAATTTTTTTATTGTTTATTTTAAAAGGCCCAAATGTAATTTTAGTTTTATTGCAATCACTGTTGAAACTTATCAAAAGCATTAGATTGTCAGATTGGGTTTCTTTATTAGTAGTGACACCTAAATTATATCTTTTGATTCTTTCAATTTTATATATAAAAAGAAACTTAAATAGGGCTTGGGCGTCATGACGTAATTACTTTGCGTGGCAGCCATATTGATGGTCTCCTTTACCGCTACTCGGACTACTGCCTACGACTGTTGTGGGCAGTAGCAGCACAACACATGATCACCATGGGAACAACATAGAAAATGGGTTAACTTTCCACCGCTTTCCTGCCTGGAGGCGTAACCATGGAGATAAAGAGTAAGAGATAAAGAGTCGTCGGCTAGCTTGGATCGCGGCTGTAAGATGACCGAACATAACTTTCCACAGTGTCCCGATGTCAATGAGAGTGTGTTCCCTGCATTTTCATTCTGCTAAGTTAAAGATGCACGGTTTTATTTTATAGCCTACTTTGCTTCTTTCCTTCAAAGTTGGGATCTTTTACGTGAAAATAATAAAATCGGCAGCGGGAAAAGGCTCAAATATGTGAGAAACCCGGAGGGTTGGCAGTTAACGTTACTAACTACACCTTTGAAACACATAGCAGCTAGTTAAAAGTACATTACATGCGTGAGTGGTTGTTAGCACTAACGGTTAGCAATTACTAAACTAGCAGGTTCCAGAGCCCGTCTGAGCACAGCCTACCTTCGTACGGATTACTGTGTTCCCACTGTTTGCTGGCTTTATGATCTGCAGCTCCTGAACCCATCCATTCATGAACTGCACATGAAACTCCAAGGACTTGTAGCTTGGGAACTGTTTTGAAGTATAGGCGCTCACTCGTCGGTGCTCCACTCATTGTTTGGAACTTCATAATGCTGATTTTGTCAACATACCTGTCCGTGGCTTCTCTATTTAATGTGTCCCGGTAAATTCCAGATCCTTTTCGGGATTTTAACATCTTTTTTCTCTCTACTTCTACGTCTCTTCTTTCAACAACAACATTGTATCAGAGCTATGTTTACGTTCGCGTAGCCCTCAACATGGCCGCCACGTCCCACAATGCAGTGCGGATCCCAAGCCCGATTCTTTGTGTAAATCTGTGTATTGTGAAGTATAAAATCAAAATAAATTCTAATTTATTGGTGACCCTGTTGCTCTTTTTCAGCCGATCTTTTTTTGGGGGAACTTTGCCGTGTAGAAACTTATGGAAGAACAACAATGTCATTGGAATCTGCATTTTTTTTGTACACCGAATTTTAAAAAGCAAATTTTTTTAGCACCGAATTTTAAAAACTGAACTTTTTTATATATTGAATCTCTTACACTGATTTTTTTCCTGGTAAAAATTTGACTGCAAATGTGTTGACCTTTTGGTGAACTCAAGCTAAAGTAAGCTAGACTCATCGCAGTCGAACAGCTTCTAGCCAATGATATTACCTCATTTGATCATGGGACAACAGTTGGGTATAGCTTTGTTCCTGACTGAATAAAGCTAAATAAGGAGTTTTCTTGTTAACCCAGGGTTCCTACAGCAAAAGGCAAGTTAAATTCAAGACTTTTTAATGCCACTTGAAATAAAAATTTAAGACCCAATTCACAAGAAAAACCTGCTTGCTAAAACTTAACCCAAAGGTTTATTTTACCATAAACCACTGCACTAATGTTTCAAATTTTGAAAAGCCTCCCATACAGGAAGAAAGCTAAAAACACACAAATGACAGATATATTTTAACAATTATTTAACTGAATTCACAAACTTTGTTTTAGCAGGGAACAAAACAAATTAGTTTTAAAGCCACAACATAACCAGTGCTAAGTCTTTTTAGCAGCTATTTTTCTTTCTATGGTTTTCTTAGTATGTTTGATTTGGTGATAAGTGGAGGCGTTGCAGAGACAACATTTGGGTGCATCTCCCAAATGTCCCGGCCGCAACAACACTTTTATTGGTTCCGCTATCGGGACGGAACCAATAATGGCGAGCCGTTATTTTTTATTTTATATAATTAATTTTAACGTTTTATTTAGATTACAAAAATAAATCGAAATAAAAATAATCCTATTTATGATGTTTTGAAAATTAAGACCTACAAAAGACTGATTTAAGACATTTTAATCACAATTAAGGCCTTAGTTTTATTTTTGAAGAATTCAATGCCTTTTAAGACTTTTTAAGGACCTGCGGGAACCCTGTTATGGTCTCATTGGAATAAGCATTTTTTTTGTACACCAAATTTTAAAAAGTGCATTTTTTAGCACAGAATTTTAAACACTGAACTTTTTTATATATTGAATCTCTTACACTGATTTTTTCTGGTAAGAATTTGATTGCAAATGTGTTGACCACAGATTCTTCTTCTACTGCAGTCGAACAGCTTCTAGCCAATGATATTACCTCATTTGATCATGTGACAACAGTTGGGCATATCTTTGTTCCCGGCTGAATGAAGCTAAATAAGGAGTTTTTCCTGTTAAATAGTTATGTTTACATAACGTCAGGTAGCTACTAAAAGGCATCCATTATAGTTTTAAATCTAATCAAGCAGGGTGAAATAATTGAGCTAATCACAGCTAGTGCGGCACCCCTGTCTGCCAAAGCTCTTGGTTTGATCCAGAAGAAACCAAATGAGCTGATTTCATTGGCTAGAAGCTGCTCAACTCCATCGAGTGCAGATTGCAGTGGCTTGAGTTCACCAAAAGGTAAATATACAGTTGAATTTTTTTGCAGCTGAATTTTCACCAGATAAAAATTCAGTGTAAGAAATGTATGTTTAAAAAAAATTCAGAGTTTAAAATAAAGTCTATAAAAAAGGCAGATTCCAGTTAGACTGTTTTTTTTTTTTCTCATAGAAACTGAATTGAAAAAAAACAAGAAATCTTGGAAAGTTTTCAAGTCTTGATTTGTACATAACGTTTTTGAAGATGTGAATCTCACAGATATCTGAAGCTTCTGCTGTTGTTTTCAGCCTCCATGTGAACCCATTGTAATGACCAACTGCTCCCCGTTAATCAGCCCCTTTGTTTTCACATCTCAGTGACTTTGTTATGATTGCTCCTTTTGATTACATGTCCAACACGTTTGTCAACCATTTATCCAAGAATTCAGCAGGACATATTTGGCTCTTTGAAAGTGTTTGGCTATGAACTGACAATTTATTCAGGGTGGATAGTTTAGCTGAGCAGCGGGAGCTTAATAATGTTCACCGCTCTGCACAAAATACTGGGAGTTTGACCGAAAATATTCCTGGGAAGTCAATTTTTCAGCAACGGCCGACACAAGTCAAAGCTTTTACCAACAAACAGTTGAGATAGCATCAGCTCACAGCTGCATATGATGTGTTTGCTATCAAACACAGGAGCTCTAATAATACGGCTCAGCCTGAGAGCGTCCGCGGGATGAATGGAGCCGTGATTCATTCGTGGCTTTATTGTATTCAGAAACTAAGAGGATTATTTTGAAGATGGGTCACTCTCATTGAGAGGGAAACTCTTTGATCATTCAAACAACATGAAATGAGCAGACTGCTTTGTCTTATAAATAATGTTTTCTGTCGCCGACTATTCTCGCTTACCTCCTCTGACAGCTCCCCAAAAACAGTCAGGACGTCAATCAGCAAACTGGAGGTGTAGAAAGACTTGATCATGTTCCTGCAGAGAGACAAAAAGACAAAAGCTGGGTTAAATGAAAAAAAGGCAGACATAAGGGGAAACAAAACTTCAAAATCCAACACAGAGGTGGACCACATCAGCAACCAAGACTGAATAAAACTAAATGTTTAGAAGAAAATTAACCAACAGAGAATACTTCATTCTGTCCTCCTGTTGGATAAAAAAAGCAACATTACTATCAGAGTTATCAAACCAATAGCAGCAAAAGATTTAAATAATAACTGAACCAAGAAGTTTGGTTTAAAAAGGGAAAAAAGTCAGAATTCTGACTTTTTTCTCTGAATTCAGTACTTTGATGAGCCCAGAGGCCTGTCAGACAAAAAGCAGTTTAAAGGAAAAGTCCGGTCATATTCATTATTCAAACTTCTGAAAGTACTTTAAATATGAAATCATTACACACTGTTCTATAAATGATGATGTTTTTAATTAAGAGAAATTTTCATGTGAATGTGCTTTACTGGAGGCATCCATGTTTGTCAATGAACACTACTGCCACCTACTGGTTGGTGACGTCACGGTGCGGTATCGGCTGTTGATCAAGTCCCAGTGCTGTATCTGGTGTTTGTCACAACGCGCTATTATCCAAGTCATCTTGAAAACATTCTTCTTCCAAATGTTGGCTACATATTACGGGTTTTTTCTCTGGCCAGAAGTTCGATGGCAAATCCTCCCTCTTCAAGTTGGCGATCCAACGAGGAACCCAACAGTTTGTTATTGTGGTTCAACTTATTGTATAGGTAACAACTAGGGGTGTAAATAATAATCGTTTTGTATCGATGCATCGATCCAACAGCCGACGATCCGATGCATCGTTACATCCGCAAGAGAATCGGTTCATGTTTTTTTTCCTCCGGTGTATTTTTATCCATTTTGCTCCTGGACGTAATTCTCCCTCCCGTGCTGCGGTGGCGCTAAACCTATTTTGCCCTCCTACCTCACTTCCTGGTTATACTCTTACAGCAGTGTGTTGCAGTGAGCTTGATGCAGACATTTTTGATTTGTGCCCAATATTGAAGCGTGGTCTGCGCTACACGCTGTGGGTCTAGATACGGCCGAGGCGGTGAGGAAGTGGGGGCGAGTTTAGTCAGACGACGGAGGGACATCAGGGCCAAAAAGAGCAGAGATCCAGGTGGAAAAATAGCCCCAGCGTTCTCGCACACCTCGCTCTTCCAGCGGGTCAAGCTTCACGAGTTGTTTTCCGCAATTTCGGTCATGAAAACAAAACAAGCAGACCTCCTGTCTGCCGTCAGCTACAATTTGGGAGAGGAGCAGCGGAGCGTCTGTGGAGGGGGCAGGACGTCTGGAGCCGAGGTATTGCATCGCACTCATTGCACTGATTTTGTGCAGTATTTTCTGATGCAAGGCCTTTCAGAATCTATAACGCAGGGGTGTTATTATTTTTCTGTGAATTAGGTTTTAATAGGAATAGATGAAGTGCAACTTCTCTACTTCTGTTATTTTCTGTAGTTTCTCAAAAAAAAAAAAATGCATAACGATATTACAGCTTTCATTGATTTATTTTAAATTTGAAACATTGTCTAGCCTGTAAGGTGTAAAAAAAAAACCCAAAAAAAATGAACCAATTAATCTAATCTAATCAAATCGTATCGTGGTGTATTATTGAGTATTGAAAATAATCGAATCGTTGGGTCAGGAAATCGATACTGAATCGAATCGCCATGATGGATGTGATTTCCACCCCTAGTAACAACCAAGATGCACCTGGCAGTCCTGGCTACACTTTTTCCCCTGCTAGTTTGCAGACTGTGTTGTAGTATGTGTAGACTGTTTTTCAGTTCATTATTGTTCAACTTGTTGTATATGTAATGATCAAGTTCCACCTTTAGCAGTGATTTTCAGTTACACTTTCTTATTGTTGTAACTAAAAATGATCTCATGTCTACCTTATGAAATATCCACCTCTACTCAAGCCCAAATACTTCCTATAATCAGGCTTAAAGTAGTTTTGGAATAAAGACAAAAAGCTAGCCGCATTCCACCTCAGAATTTCTGGGTGAGGATACCCCCGTACCCCCCTACAATGCTCGCGCCTAAAGCTGTGATACACCAAGGTGTACACCCTGGGACATTTTCTTAGCTAAAAGCTTGCCAACGAGTAACAGTTCCAGTATTAAAACATACTTTTAATTAATATCTTTTCAAATATCTCACGTCTCATTATGTGATAAATTTATCATCAATCTTTGTGTTAATCAAGTGTTAATCATACAAAACGTCTTAATTTAGGCAAGTTTTAATAGTATATACTGTAAGACCATTTTTTAAGTCTTATATCTGATTAATAATTATCAATTTTTAACTTAATGAGTGTATAAATGGATGAAAGCATAGAGGATTAGATTTCAAGTTAATGAAAAGGTTTGTAAGTTTGCATTTAAATGATTACTTTAAGCTGAGGAGTTATTAAAGTTGCCATATAATGTAAAGAATTAGCAATCCATCCCCATAACAGGAAGAGAAAACCTAGAAAATCTCCCTAGAAGTCATTGTCCATCAGTCTACTTGTGCAAGAGCTTGTTAAAACAGCCATCGTGTTTATTAGTTAGAAAAATTCTTTATTTAAAAGCAGCTTTGAAATGAAACCTCTGCTTAATGATGTGCAAATAACAGATAAATGACTCAACACAAACATCCTGGCTGGAACTGGAAGAATTCGGGCTTTTTTAATCAAAAAAGGGAAAAACCAGAATGCAAACTGTTTTCTCTCCACTTTCCACTCACCTGAATGGCACTATGTGAACTAAAGAAGCAGTTTTGAATTATAAAGATGCCTCAGGTTGTGTGTTAAACATCCCTCAGTGCTTCACCAGCCTGTGGACAGAGGGGATGGCCCCCGCTGTCTTTCTAATGATTAACAGATCAGTTTAGAATCTTCTACTTTTATTGGAATCAACAACTAAGATTTCATTAAGCAGGTGCAGCAGTAAAAATATAGGTTCATAAACTAGAAGCCAATAAAACTCACTCATCAAACTTAATAAGCTTTAATGTTTCGAGTCATTTAAGGTGTTTCTTTCCGTGGGTTGTTTCAACCAGCCTGCTGCTGCTGCCTCTTTCTGGGTTTTAGCAAAGAACGGCTCATTAACATGACTTCAAAGTGCTTGTTTGGGTTAAATTGACAGACCCTCCTGACTTTAGGATGCAGAGAGACATTTAAACAGGACTAACGCCATGGTGGGTGCCAGGATCTGACATGGTGCAGAAGCAGCTTAAACTGGATTTTTTTTATATATATATATAAAAATGACATGAAAATACTTTGTATTTAGATCCAATAGGACTAGGACAACTTTCTTTTTAACCATAAAAATATTCTGTGTCAAGGCAGAGAGAATATTTAGACACATATCGAGAAACCCTGTTTGTTAAAATTTCTCTCAAGCAGTTTGTTAAATCAACACTATAGTGCAAAGAAAGATCCTCCAGGAAGAGTAGCTTCAAGTGCTAACAAATATATTTTTCGGGACAAGACTCGGTGGTATAGCTACACCTTATGGCCAAAGGACATTCTTTTGAGGAACAGAATGTTCACATTTTGGACAAAGAAGACAGGTGGATTGAGAGGGGCATGAAGGAAACAATTTATATCAAGAAAGAAAAAAACAACCTTAAATAGAGCGAGTGGACTCATATTTCAGCTTCCAAAAACCTACAACGCAGCGATAGAGTTGATTCCTTCCCGCTTTCATAGAAACCTCTAATGATCCCCCTTTCAGGGACATAGACAGGTATGGAGCACCAGGTTAACGAAGAAGCTAAACAACCCTTATTCCAAAGGGGTGGACCTGTTCGTCCTGTTCAATTTGTATGTTTACTAAGCAAAAACAAGGCTTTGTTTTTGGTCCGCTCTATAAATGCGCAAACTCAAAGCTATATCTGACATTTTGAAGTGAAAAAGCTTCCTGGATGGGAAGAGAAACATCTTCATCTCCAAGTTGGAAACTAAGCAGCTAAGGAGCAGCGCATGAACCGAACGCAACACACGCAAACCGAACCGAACGGTTCAGACGGTTTTCATAAACCGTTCACCCCTACTATATATATATATATATATATATATATATAGTAGGGGTGAAACAGTTCACAAAATCCACGGTTCGGTATATGTTGATTGTTACACCGAAATCCCATAAAAATTTATAAAATTAATGAAAAAATACAAAAAAATTAATTAATTGTAATTATTTTTAATGAAACCCTGGATCATTTCCGCGTGTTTTGCTGCTTTGAATTTAATAATTTGGCACATGCCCCCTATGATCTCCAAGGAACTCAGAGCGGATCGGACGGGAGCCACAGTGGAGGCTGTAGGCTTTGCTTTTTGCAGGCAGTCTGGGGCAGAGCGGAGCGCGTATGTGGGATTTCGGGGTTAGCCTGACATGTTGGTCGTGTTGCTGTTAGCATAAACAAAAGGTGTTGCACAATTCTTGGACACTGTTGCACTTTTATCCACAACTTTCTTCCCGCCGTCATCGTAGGTCACTCTCAATGCAAAGTGGTCCCATACAGCAGATCTATAAAGTGCTGCTGGCGCATCTGTCCAACTCCTGTTCTTTCCCACTCGCCATACCCACACAATTCTCCACAACAACTGATTTATTTCTGCTACACCCGGCTACGCTGCTTCGCTTCTTCTTCTTCTTGTTTACTACTGGCGGTTGGCTTTGGTCGCAGTACCGCCACCTTCTGCTCTGGAGTGTAAACGCTTCGCCCATGAGAAAAAGGAGCAGCGCATGAACCGAACGCAACACACGCAAACCGAACCGAGACAGTCGAACCGAACGGTTCGGACGGTTTACATAAACCGTTCCATCCCTAATATATATATATTAGGGATGGATTTTTATAAGTAAATTGTCTTGTTCCACTGGCAAAATGTCTGTTTTCCCTCCCCAATCAAAGAAGAAATGCAATTATTTTAAGAAAAAATAACTTATCTAGATTTGGAATTTTTGCAG